TTGGCGCCGTCTTTTGATAATTACTTGTTTCTTTGTATGTCTCTTCTCTGTTACATAGATAAGACAATAATGTCTTAGACATAGATAATGTCTTGCCTGTCCATGGTTGGTGGCCAGGGGCACGGGGCTAGCCTCACCGAACTTTGCAGGGTGAATGGTCAGGGGTACAGGTCGGACATCTGGACGTGGTCGGCCCAATCAGTCCTCACTAACTTTTCAAGATGACACATGGATGGTAGGGGACCGTCATAAGCTGCTCAGGGTTGGCTCCCATTCCGACTCCCGGCGAATCCTTTGAAGCCTGAAATGGATTTTATTTTCCAGATTTTTTCCATACATTTTCAGCTGTCCATAGATAGATCATATTCTGAGAGAGAGAGAGAGAGAGAGAGAGAGAGAGAGAGAGAGAGAGGAGAGAGAGAGAGAGAGAGAGAGAGAGAGAGAGAGAGAGAGACCCAGGCACCGCTGGGTACCTCATCTTGTGGTATAGAGGCAAGGAACTCCATCAAGTCTTTGGTGTACGAATGTAATTGATGTGTGGAAGTTATGAAGTTTCCCTCTCTCTCTCTTTCTCTCTCTCTCACTCTCTCTCTCTCTCTCTCTCTCTCTCTCTCTCTCTCTCTCTCTCTCTCTCTCTCTCTCTCTCTCTCTCTCTCTCTCTCTCTCTCTCTCTCACTCACTCTCTCTCTCTCACACACAAAACCCATCCCAAACAAAAATAAAGAAACAGTTTGAGACGTGAACGAACCCCTTTCAGAAGAGTTTTAAGACTTGCTAAAAGGACTCCATTTAATCGCCAGAGAGTGTATCAGAGGCATCAAAGGGCCGCCGATCACATCCCAATACCAGGGATGTCCCAAAGTTGGTCCCGGCGTTGCCAACACCAGAGCTCCGATATTACTTCTCAACCCTCCTGCCAAGAGGAATGTTCTGTTTGTTTCATGATTTAAATGTCCATGAAAACCTTTTTTTTTTCATCTTGATTTTTGTTAGTATTTTTATTAATATATAGTTTCATTATCGCTGATTATGTTCTTATTTTTATTTTAATGGGTTCAATAATTGATGGATTAATTTTTTTTTATTTGGTTTATTAGTAAAGCGGTTAAAAATTAGGAGGGTAAGGAGCAGTAAAGTCTAGAACCGTGTTTGTATTAAAAATGTAAAGTAAAACATGTTGGTTATCTAAGGTTTCTGTTCACAAAAATGTGATTAAAAAAATAAATTTGAATGATTAAAGTTTGAAGGTGGTTTTGGGCTTCTGGAGGGAACGTTCCCGCTGGAGACGTTCTCAACATCGAGTTTCTGGAGGTAACGTTCCCGCTGAAGACGTTGTCAACATCGGGCTTCTGAAGGGAACGTTCCCCCTGAAGACGTTGTCAACATCGGGCTTCTGGAGGTAACGTTCCCGCTGGAGACGTTCTCAACATCGAGTTTCTGGAGGTAACGTTCCCCCTGAAGACGTTGTCAACATCGGGCTTCTGAAGGGAACGTTCCCCCTGAAGACGTTGTCAACATCGGGCTTCTGGAGGGAACGTTCTCGATGGAGATGTAATGACAACTCCGTGAGTTTCCGTGAGTGAGTCTCCGTGAGTATAATGTAATGTAACTAATGACAACTCCGTGAGTTTCATCTCATTCAGATTTGGGAATATCAACATTGATCAGCTGATATCTGGGTTATCTGATGATTGATTGAGATGATTTCGGGGCTTTAGTGTCCCCGCGGCCCGGTCCTCGACCAGGCCTCCACCCCTAGGAAGCAGCCCGTGACAGCTGACTAACACCCAGATACCTATTTTACTGCTAGGTAACAGGGGGCATAGGGTGGAAAAAACTCTGCCCATTGTTTCTCGCCGGCGCCCGGGATCGAACCCGGGACCACAGGATCACAAGTCCAGCGTGCTGTCCGCTCGGCCGACCGGCTCCCTGGGTACTTACCAATCCTGAAAATCCTTCATTTGTTAGCGTCTATCAATCGCTTTTAACATATTAAAAGCTTCGTTAAATCGTCTTGAAGTGATATATCGACACTTCTGAATTTATTTCGTTTTTTTTTTTTTTGCATTATTTTACCCGTTTTTGCATTATCTGCAAATTTCTCAATATTGTCGTTCAGTCGTGTACTTATTTTGCTCATATATATGGTGGCTATTTTGTTCATGGGAATGAGAGAGGTTCTAGGGCGGAGCCTATTTCCTATTTGGACTTGACTGAATTAATAGGATACTCCTGTGACTTGGTGGGAAATACCATGCTGTAAAACTGGCTGTAACATTGAAATTGGTGAATGTATTATTTTAAGGGTCCCTTCTCACTTGTGGTAGTGACCACTTCTCAGTTGAGGTGATGAATCTCATGTTAAAAATAAAATGTAATTGAGAGAGGAATGAAAAGATGACTGAATAGGGAGTATAAGAGAGAGAGAGAGAGAGGGAGGGAGAGAGAGAGAGGGAGAGAGAGAGAGAGGAGAGAGAGAGAGAGAGAGAGAGAGATAGAGAGAGAGAGAGAGAGCGCGAGAGAGAGAGAGAGAGAGAGAGAGTGAGAGTGAGAGAGCGAGAGTGAGAGAGAGAGAGAGAGAGAGAGAGAGAGAGAGAGAGAGAGAGAGAGAGAGAGAGAGAGAGAGAGAGAGAGAGAGAGAGAGAGAGACCGACCGAGAGGCTGCCAGGAAGCCTTATAGGTGGACCGGAACCCTCCTAAGTGGTCGTGAACCTGTTTAGGAGTGCCTCTGGTCAGAGTGAACCCTCTTATCATCCGGTTATTATACACTCCCGGATAATTCAGATCTCGGCGACCAGCCACTCCGCCGGCAGGAGTGGCGGCCCCCAAGAGAATAAATGCCCCAAAATGGGATTTTTCTCCCACGTCGTCGCCTGCAATTGCTCCTCCTGCAGGAACAATAGCGAACGAGTTGCTTGCCGTGGATTACCTTCGACCGCCTTGCCCCTCCAGAGTGCCCTTTATCCCTCGCCTCCTCCAGGAGGGTGGTGGCACAATGGTCATCGGTCAGTAACAAGAAACAGGAAGGAAACCCATTTTGCCTGAGGACATCGCCAAGGATGTAGAGTTGGTCGACCCCCTCCTGAGGGAGGAGGTGGTGGCGGAGGACCCTGCGGTGTTTACGACAACGAAATTAACCAATTCGTTACAAATTGGTTGAAATGCGGCGTATTGGTAAGAAATATGATTTAAATTGATGTTTACTGTGCTCCGGATTTGATGGGGTTAGGTGGGCTGTTTGGGTACGTCCGTTTCTGATTAGGTAAAACAGTTGCATTTTGTTACGGAGTTGCAAATTGAAAGAAGAGTGTTGTCGTGTGGCCTTGGCGACGTGGGTTATCTTGAGATGGTTATCTTGAGATGATTTCGGGGGCTTAGTGTCCTCGCGGCCCGGTCCTCGACCAGGCCTCCTTTTTGTTACAACCCCCCCCCCCCCCACAGGAAGCAGCCCGTAGCAGCTGTCTAACTTTCAGGTACCTATTTACTGCTAGGTAACAGAGGTTAAGGGTGAAAGAAACATTTTGCCCATTTGTCTCCGCTTCCACCGAGGATCGATCCTCAGGACTTCGAATCCGAAGCGCTGTCCACTCCGCTATCAGGCAGTACATCTTGGGGCCCCAAAATGTAAGAACGCTACAAATCATTGAACCCTTACACACGGAAGTAGAACAACCCACCATAACTACCTAAATATTCACTCGTCCCAAGTGAATACTATGTTTCACTATGTGAAAGTTTCACTATGTGAAAGTTTCACTATGTGAAAGTTTCACTATGTGAAAGTTTCACTATGTGAAAGTTTCACTATGTGAAAGTTTCACTATGTGAAAGTTTCACTATGTGAAAGTTTCACTATGTGAAAGTTTCACTATGTGAAAGTTTCACTATGTGAAAGTTTCACTATGTGAAAGTTTCACTATGTGAAAGTTTCACTATGTGAAAGTTTCACTATGTGAAAGCCAAACCGGAACCCCAGTATGCCAACGATGACGTCCCTGCCCACTACGGCCACCTGAGTTCAAATTACCCTATCACCTGACGTGAAAACTTCTCGCTCCAGAAGGTCATTTTTACACTTGTATACGACCTGACGCTAAGAGATGCGTGTCCTTGAGCTTGTCAACATTGTCAAGGGTGAAGCCTGAGCCGACGTGCCTTCTGGACTTCATTCCACGTTCCTATGATGGGTGGGTCGGGGTGCCAGGTAGTGCACATTGGCCTTGAGAATGGTGGATTGTATACAACTGTAGAGGGAGCTGGTGGTGGTCTTCTTGCTCTACAAGAACACCCCCAACTTGCTCTACAAGAACACCCCCCAACTTGCTCTACAAGAACACCCCCAACTTGCTCTACAAGAACACCCCCCAACTTGCTCTACAAGAACACCCCCCAACTTGCTCTACAAGAACACCCCCAACTTGCTCTACAAGAACACCCCAACTTGCTCTACAAGAACACCCCCCAACTTGCTCTACAAGAACACCCGCAACTTGCTCTACAAGAACACCCCCAACTTGCTCTACAAGAACACCCCCAACTTGCTCTACAAGAACACCCCAACTTGCTCTACAAGAACACCCCCAACTTGCTCTACAAGAACACCCCCAACTTGCTCTACAAGAACACCCCCAACTTGCTCTACAAGAACACCCCCAACTTGCTCTACAAGAACACCCGCAACTTGCTCTACAAGAACACCCCAACTTGCTCTACAAGAACACCCCCAACTTGCTCTACAAGAACACCCCCAACTTGCTCTACAAGAACACCCCCAACTTGCTCTACAAGAACACCCCCAACTTGCTCTACAAGAACACCCCCAACTTGCTCTACAAGAACACCCCCCAACTTGCTCTACAAGAACACCCCCCAACTTGCTCTACAAGAACACCCCCAACTTGCTCCACTGTTCCGACGTCAAGCTATGGACGAATATCGTCTGTGACTTCACATACCTACCTGGGGACTATGTCAGCCCCCACAGATGTCACGATAACAGCATGGTTGTTAAGGTGCCTGATAAGGAACGAACAGTAAGGGGCCCCTATCAATGCCATTTCTACACACAACCAGATCACCAGAGATATATAAGGAAGCCTTGACCAGCTATACGTTAGCCTTGACCGGCTATAAGTTAGCCTTGACCGGCTATAAGTTAGCCTTGACCGGCTATAAGATGCCTGGGGGTTTTAATGAGATAAGCGCAGGAATAGCGGAGGGGATTAGCGCAAAGTGTATTAAGGCTTCGAGGCCGAAGACTGTGATGGGTGACCGTGTTTCAAGGCATTATGGGAGTGACAGGCTGTCGTTACCGTGATGTATGGGGGAGTGGGGCGGGTGGTGACGTCCCGTTAGGTAACCCATGCTGTCACGCCATGGGTGTGTCCGGTGATGTCACAGCTGGAGCGAAGAGAGTGTGTGACGGGAGGTGACGTAGTGACTTCCAAGTGACTTCCAGTCATCTAGTGACACGAGTCATGATTCTCCCACTCAGTTTGTGACGCAGGTATAGCGACCTCTCCCGACCTTCAGTCAGGTGGTGACCACAGGTGGTGGCTCCCAGTCAGGTGGTGACCCCAGGTGGTGGCTCCCAGTCAGGTGGTGACCCCAGTTGGTGGCTCCCAGTCAGGTGGTGACCCCAGGTGGTGGCTCCCAGTCAGGTGGTGACCCCAGGTGGTGGCTCCCAGTCAGATGGTGACCACAGGTGGTGGCTCCCAGTCAGATGGTGACCCCAGGTGGTGGCTCCCAGTCAGATGGTGACCACAGGTGGTGGCTCCCAGTCAGGTGGTGACCACAGGTGGTGGCTCCCAGTCAGATGGTGACCACAGGTGGTGGCTCCCAGTCAGATGGTGACCACAGGTGGTGGCTCCCAGTCAGGTGGTGACCCCAGGTGGTGGCTCCCAGTCAGGTGGTGACCCCAGGTGGTGGCTCCCAGTCAGGTGGTGACCACAGGTGGTGGCTCCCAGTCAGGTGGTGACCCCAGGTGGTGGCTCCCAGTCAGGTGGTGACCCCAGGTGGTGGCTCCCAGTCAGGTGGTGACCACAGGTGGTGGCTCCCAGTCAGGTGGTGACCCCAGGTGGTGGCTCCCAGTCAGGTGGTGACCCCAGGTGGTGGCTCCCAGTCAGGTGGTGACCACAGGTGGTGGCTCCCAGTCAGATGGTGATTGTTATTGTTCTGTTAAGGGTGTTGTTTACAACCGCCTGTCGCTTCATACTTATTTATTTACTTCCTCTCTCATGTCCCTTCATTCTATTCTCTTCAACTGTCTCCTTTTTCTCCTTTCTAACCTGTTTCCCCTCATTTCACGTTTTTTCCTTTTCCCTCCACCCTCCTTTTCCACATTTACTTTCCTTTACCCTCATCTCTTGCTGTTCTGTCTCATGTTCTCCCTCCCCATTTCCCGTCTACTGTCCTCTCCCCTCATCCTGTCTCTTTCCCCTCATAACCCGTCCACTCCCCCTCATAACCCGTCCTTCTTGTCGCCTCTGTGTATTCTGTTGTTGTTTTCAATCGTCCCCTCTCTTGCTTTTCCTCTTCTTTGCCCTCATTATCGTCCTGCCACTTGTTCCGTGTCTCCCCTCTCCCTCTCGGCTGAACTTTTCCCTCTCCTTCTCATCTGTACTATCTACTCCCCTCTCTCTCTCGTTACTAATACTCGTTGTTCCCTGCTTCACCCTGTTCCAGAGGCACCTCCCCCACAGCCAGCATCTCCCTACAGCCAGCATCTCCCTACAGCCAGCACCACCTCCCCTCAGCCAGCACCTCCCCACAGCCAGTACTCGGCCTAAACGGTTGCCCCTTATAGGCAAGTATATCCCGCCAACCCCCGCATGCCCTGCCCTACCCCACACCCTGATCTCACCCCACCCCACCCCACTCTGCCCCCTTGTTGACCCAAAGTGTCAAGCGCACCCCCCTACCCTCCGAGCCCCCCCTCCCTCCCCTTCTCTCCGCCCCACCTCGACCCCCCACACCCCCCTTACCCTATTGATTTACCTAACACCGCTAATCTCGGCGGTTTTTGTCTCTACCTTGGCAAGCTGTGTAAGCTGTTCTTGGTGCATACACGGTGCGTCCCAGGGCTCGGGGTGAGGAGGAGCTGGCTCCTCTTACCATGTGTCCCCTCTCTTGTGTCCCCTCACATGTGTCCCCTCACATGTGTCCCCTCACATGTGTCCCCTCACATGTGTCCCCTCAAAGGGAAACCCCCCCCCCTCCCCCACACACACAGGCGGAAGGGGGAGAATCCTTCACATGTTGCATACACGATCTGTGCAAACGCATTTGATGTGACCATGGAACGATGGTTTCATAAAATGAAATGCCGTTTCCTTTCCATGCGTCTCAGGTATACCTCCACCGTACTTCATGCGTGCGCATCGGCACATTCGTCCGTGCGTTCAATGCGCTACTCTTTTTTTATGGGTATTCCTGGTATCGTAATTACGAATAATTGGTTGGTATTTATGTTGGTTGACGGAGGGCGCGTACATAGCCTCGCGTCCAGGTTCAGGAGCCCCGCGGGGCACAGCTAAAATACCTCCCAGCTCACCTGGAGGCAATTACCTGTATGTATTAATTCTTTATTAACATGCTATAAGGAGGTGGCCCGGTAAGGAAGGTGGGGAGGGGAGGGGGGAGGAGGGTCTTGGCTGAAATGATTTCTGCGCAGGCGCTCTGGTGCCTGGCACTCTCGTAGGTGGTCTGGTGCCTGGCACTCTAGTAGGTGCTCTGGTGCCTGGCACTCTAGCAGGTGTTCTGGTGCCTGGCACTCTGGTAGGCGCTCTGGTGCGTGGCACTCTAGTAGGTGCTCTGGTGCCTGGCACTCTGGTAGGTGCTCTGGTGTGTGGCACTCTGGTAGGTGCTCTGGTGTGTGGCACTCTAGTAGGCGCTCTGGTGAGTGGCACTCTAGCAGGTACTATGGTGCCTGGCACTCTAGCAGGCACTCTGGTGCCTGGCACTCTAGCAGGCACTCTGGTGCAAGACAACCGCTTCATGAGAGACCTACATGACACCTAAGAGTGCAACTCCCAATTTGGCATCCCACTCTGGCACTCCTGCATGGCAACCTACTGTATGCCACTAGCCATCCCCCCCCCCACTCCTCAACCCCTCTAACCTCTCCCCCACCATCTATCCCCCGCCCCCCTCTCCCCCAACCTCGAACCCCCCAAAAAAAGACTATGGATATTTGTGGCGGAGTTCTGCCGTATATACATACGTGGGCGGCCTTGATTAATAGGGGTGAACCCCCGTCGCCCTGTCCAGCATAAATACCTCGGAGGACATGCTAATATTTGGGTAGAGAGAGAGAGAGAGAGAGAGAGAGAGAGAGAGAGAGAGAGAGAGAGAGAGAGAAGGGAGGGAAATATCAAGGGAAATCGCCTAGCCATGACGACTATTTTGCACTGGGAAGGGGTCAGGATAAGGATTTGAGATGGGACTGGGGGGGGGGGGGAGGAAAAGGGATGGTACCCAACCACTTGGATGGTTGGGGATTGAACGCCGACCTGCATGAAGCGAGACCGTCGCTCTACCGTCCGGGAGGAGAGACAGATAAAAAGAAAAATAATAATAAAGTTGGGAGTATAGACAGAGGAATTAATGTATCAATGTGAGAGGACGAATTTGAATATGACAGAGGGAGAGGCAGTCCCCCATGAGCAGATGGGGGGGGGGTAGGCAGACCCCATGAGTATGGAAAGATGGGGGGGAGGCAATGGGGCTACCTGCTCCCATTTATCGCCTCATTAAACGTCAAATTTCGACGTCTAACTGTCACGGTATGACGTTATTGCTGTGTGATTTAAGACATGGGGGTGCATGATGATCGGGTGATGTATGGGAGAAAGGCATGAGGTGCATGGGGGTGAAAGGATGGAGTGAAGGATATGGGTAACGGATTGGGTGAGGGATTAGTGTTAATCATGATCATGACACATATCGTACTATAAGGGAAGGGAACTATCAGGGGGGAAAGTGCCAAATCATTACGACTATATAGCACTGGGAAGGGGTCAGGATAAGGATTTTGGGATGGGACGGGGGAGGGAAGGAGTGGTGCCCAAACACTTGGACGGTCGGGAATTGAACGCCGACCTGCATGAAGCGAGATCGTCGCTCTACCGTCCAGCCCAAGTGGTTGAGCGTACTATAAAGGAATAACAAACTGTATCCTGAAAAATCCTGTCTTCAAAGCAAATGCATTACCACGAAAATCACACCTCTCTTCAGAGCACTTGGATAGTTACCTTGAGATGGTTTCGGGGCTTAGCGTCCCTGCGGCCCGGTCCTCGACCAGGCCTCCTGGTCCCCGACCAGTTGCAGACGATGAGTCACAATAACGAGGCTGAAGATATGAGGACCAGACCACACACTAGAAAGTGAAGGGACGACGACGTTTCGGTCCGTCCTGGACCATTCTCAAGTCGATTGTCTTGATAATGTTATCTGATATTTGTTTTCTTTTTCAGACCATCAACTGGATAGTTATCTAGGTATTTGTGATGGTCTGAAAGCATATTACGGTTCCACTAATAGTCTACATGTAAACTGACAAGTGAACCACTGTCCTAAACAGAGAGTATTCTCAAATTATATGTTTATGTGATTATAAATAGTTGGTTTAATATATAAAAAAATATATGCTGAAATTTGTTTTTAAGAATTTAGTGTTCTGTAAATGGAATTCTCGGGTACATTGAAATAGTTTTCGAATTCCATATTATCATATTAACACAACCAAGCCTAACCTAACCTAACCTTGCAGAACCTAAAGTAACCTTATCAGCATCAGTTTCGATAGACTCTTTAGATAGCCGAAGATTGACTGACATCCTGGATTGATATTCATGGATAGAGAGCACATAACAGCATTAGTTATGAAGTTATAAATAAGAGTAATGCCTTCACACACACATAATAACTTACGATAAAACCCCACACGTGTTTTTTTTGTTTATTTTATGGTGTAGACTTGATGTAACTCTTTTGTTGTTGTTGTTGTTGTTTAAGATTCGCTACCTGGAACAAA